CATTCTGCAGCAACACAGCTTGTAAAGTGCTGTTGTTTTTGGCCATATATTTGTTCTGCAAGACAAAGATAATAATATACAGCCAATTATATGATAGTTGTAGTAGTGAAACTAAGACTTTGGCAAAAAGCACTTTAAAATTTTAATTAATCTTCATAACAAGACTTTAAGAAATGTAATGTTATCATCTCCCATTTTAAAATTGGAGAAAATACGGCAAAAAAGGCTAAGAGATTGGTAAAAAGCAACACTGCAAGTTAATGCAAGAACTCAGGAGGTCCAGCCTCCGCAGTCTGATCTCAGATCACTAGATTATATATTTTCCCAGACCTGCCAACTTGCTATCTTTGGGGATGTGGGAAGATAATGCAGCAGAGATACAGGTATATATCTTTGAGTCACTGCTGCCTGATTTAAATAAAAAGTCAGCATAAAACAAAGTTCTTCAGCATTACAACAGCCAGCAGAAGTTTTAACTAGGCACCAGTGATGTATCAGGCAGTAGAGTCAACATTTACTAATTTACAATAGAGCAGAAGCAAGTGGTAATGCAAGGTCAGTGTATGCAATGGCACATTTCCCATTTAACAATCCAGGAATGCCATGTCACGGTTAAGTATCTATGCTGCTGAGATGGAGGTGGCATCCTGAGATGTCCTGTTATTATAATGGGGATTAAAATAGCATTGATCCTATGCTGCACTAAAACAAAGGATTGAAACCAGCAAGAGGGCATCCTTTCTTGGCATGTCTGCTCTATAACAGCAGGGTATTCTGGTCAGGACATTCCCACTACAGCTTGCCCATATCATCCAAACTCCAAAGTGTGCCAGTGAGGCATCTCTGTGGTGTCCCTCTAGAGCCATTCTTGAGAACATTCACTGGGAAAGATCTTGGAGTAGTTTCATTGTGCATGGAGCCTGAAGGAGCGTGTTGCTGCCATTTTGTCAAGCCACATCTTTTTATTTAAAGTGGGGAAAAGGAATGGATGTTCCCATTTTGTTCAGATGGTTTGAATATCCCATGAAGAACAGTTATAAGGGTTTGTATGAAATGCAAAACGAATTGAATGAAATTACTATGCAAAGTTGCCTGAAAACTGTTTTCCTAAATCTTGATCAGGGCTAATTCTGAGCTCTGTTCTATTCCACAATGTCAGTGGAGTGATACTTTTACTTGTTTAAGAAGAGGTGAGTGGTGTTACATGAACAAGTAGCTTTTCTTAGAACATACTTCCAGAAAAGGAACAGGGTAGGAGGGTTTTTTTCTGAAGATTGTATTGTGCTTACACAATTGGGCCACTCTCTTTTTTGGCTTTTTCACTCCATAGCCCCAGCACAGCAGAGGCTGGCCCTCTTCTTCCAGGAGTAGATGCAGTAAGAATTCAAACTGCCAAGGGAAATGCTGGATTCCCCATCTCTTCATTTCTTCAAATCAAAGTGAATGTTTTTCAGGAAGATACAATTTACACAAAAATAATGGCTCAAAGCTAATTTTGCCAAGTAAAATTCTATGGCCTCTTTAGGCAAGAGAACATACATGCAACAGAATTCTAATTCATTGTATGAGCCCAAGTAGCAGGCTTCTTGTCATGTAAGAGGCATTTTTGGCACCTGCACACAGTTCATGATTCTATTACTCATGCAATGTAGTTGTGTAAGTATCCATGTGGCTTCTGGGTAGGCTATGCACTGGCCAGGCAAGTATGCAGTTCATGCCGGATTGTATATAACTCACGTAATTCTGGCCGGCAAGAACTCAGAGCAGCCCCCCACCCTCCTTAATTTAGGTCCACTACCTGAGTGGTTAGGGTACTAGGTCCTATGATCTTCATCTAGTGTATTCTTGAATTTAACTTCCCAGCAGAATACTGTAACCACTAAACGATGGGTTCAGTATTGTTCAGTGCTTTCTCCATACTTTCAATTGAAGGTGGCTATGACAAGCTACAACAGGGGCCAGAAGGAACAAGCTACTCCTGCCTCTCAGATGCAAGTATTTTGCCCACATTTATTGCCTTACTATGTTGCTTCTATCATAAGACCACAGAAAAGTAGGGCTGGAAGGGATCTCCAAAGGTCATCTAGTCCAGCCTCATGCTCTAGGCAGGATCATCCATAATTAAACCATCCCAGTCAACTGTCTGTTCAACCTGACCTTCAAAATTTCCAGGGATGGAGATTCCCACAACTTCTGTTGGTAACCTGTTCCAATACTTGAGCAGCCTTATAGTCAGAAATTTCTCCTAATCTTCAACCTAAATTTCTTATGCTGCATTTTAAGGCCATTGTTCATCTGGTTGATTGTGGACCATCTTTCAGACTATCTAGGTCATTCTGGATCCTCCCCTTACCCGGATGTATTAGGGTGACAAGTACAATATTTGAAACGTGTGCAGTATAATTTGTTGCATTCCTGCAACTCCACCTAACTCGGTGTCATCCACATATTTGTTCAACATGCACTCAATCCTACCATCCAAACCCTTAACAAAGATGTTGAACGATATCAGACCCAAGACAGACCCCTGGGGAACCCAACTTGATACCTCCTCCCAACCAGGCATTAAGCCATTAAACACAATGATCCAACCAGTTATTTATTCACCTCATAGTACTTTCATCAAATCTGTATTTCCTTTGCTTGTTAATGAAAAGATCATGGGAGACAGTGTCAAAAGTCTTGCTAAATTCCACTTATATCACATCCACTTCTCTCTCCCTGTCCTCAGAGCTTGTCACCTTGTCATAGAAAGAAATCAGCTTGATCAGGCATGACTTTCTACTATTATCATTTGGAGAAATTGTTATTAGTCAGGTGTTTCTGTGGTGTTCTCATTAAGATTTATAAAAAAAAATTAGGACAGAAAGTTCTATTTCCTTAAACAAAGCAGAAACACAAAACTAGAAGTTTGTTTGATCAAATATCCGAGTCTGCTTTTACATGGAGTACTGTGCTCTGTACTGCAGCTCCATCTCTCAGCTTCTTCCTAGAGCTGAGGACTGTCTCTCTCGCTCTCTCTCTCTTTCGCTCTCTCTCTCTCTCTCTCTCTCTCTCCCC